AGGACCTCCTATAGTCATGAACATTTGTAATGGCCTTCTGCTCTATGGAATCAGCACCAAGGCATAGTCACATGCTTCATGAACAGCGTGTAGCGGATTGTTAAGAATCCTGTCGTGTGGCAAGTTAGTGTACATTGTTGTAAAACCCGTTATGTGTGGCATAGAGCCTGGAAGGGAATGTGCATTCTGCTTTAGATCCAAAATGACCTCCTCAGCACTTTGCACGATCCAGCAACGTCATCTGCCACTTTCTTGATAGAGCTCGTTCTCATTACCGTCTAGAGACCTGATCACGCCTTGTAGATCATGGCTAAGTGAGCAGGAGGCCATTGTTGTACTTGGAAGAGGCTTATGAGGGGGCCTGTGTGCAGGTCTGAGACTGAAGGTCGGCGAGTCCTTGAGCGAGATGCAGATTGGGAAAGGTTATTTCGCTGAGCGGGTGGAGATTTGTGTGCTTCAAGTACGTAGTAGAGATAATGCAAGGTGTCAGTATGTCGGTAGCCCCAGTGCTGATTAAAATGTGCATGGGCTTCGAGGATGCTGGCCACCGACTCCGATGCATGACTGTATGTAGGGCTATCAAAATTTTGTGCTAACTTGTATGTGTACTAGTGTTTGCAGCGAATTGCCAGGTTGTGTGAGGTTTCATTGAGTGGTAGTATGGTGAATTGCTACTCTAGCTGCTAAAGAGATGTGTTGGCAGCTCGAGTAGGTGCCTCGTACGCTGAACTAGAGAAATTCCATTGGCATCTTGAAAGAATTGCTGTGCGCCTGCGTAACTGAGAGAGATTGTTAGCAATTAGAGACTCGTTGCATGCTGATCTCATAGTTGCTATATATACTCGTCCAGACTGAGTTTCAGTGCTTTCATCACATCTGTGGTGTTGGGATTGAGGCGATACTTGGAGCCTTTAAGGAAGAGAGCCCTCAAATGTGTGTCTTGTATAATAGTATTCTATTGTGGCCACATGGCCATGAACAATGTTAGTACAGCGCACAAATGCTTGTCGACAAGGGCAATGCTAGGGTTAACAATGTTAGTACAGCGCACAAATGTTTGTCGACAAAGGCAATGCTAGGGTCTGGAGGAGGCATATTGCTCTTTATGTCGAGAGACGGTTAACAGGGGCCTGAATATTCACCGTTTTCGTTGGCAATTGCGGTGCGAATTTCATCAAAATTTTTAAAAACAAACGATATGAGACCGTAGTGCAAACATAAAAAAAGGGAACAGGCCCAAAAAAACGAAAAAAAAAACCAAAAAACACTATGAAACCCTAACACAAAGACAGCGTCCGAGTCAAAATGAAGTGTCCAACGAATCCAACAAAATGCCAACTTTTTCATTATTGATCCAAACATGTCAAAACTGCACACATGACGTACCCCAAAGCACATATATATCACACACACAGAAAAACAAGAAAAAAAGCAAAAATCAGCACAATATAACAGTTTCAGTGCAATTCGGTGCAAAATTCGTCGAAAATAACACCCCTGGTTAACCACGTGTGTTTATGTCAAGTGACACTTCTGTAAATTTCAGAACTGGAAACGACTGGGTGGTACCATCTTGTCACAGATATGTGTCTCCCGGGCAAGAGCAGGCTGTGGATGTACTGTAACGACTTCTGGTACCCGAAGGACGCCTTGTAATTGTGTGGCACGATCCCTAGTACGTGCTTCAGTATAGTAGACCATGAATCATGCACTCCAGTGGACAAATGTTTGCTGTAAGCTCGACAGGCATTGAAGACATTTGTCTGCAGGCAGGTGCTCATGGCTTGGGGGAGGGTATGATATATGGATTGCCACTCTGAATTTGCTGCTTATGTAAGCATGCGATGCAGGGCCGAGACCACAACGTGGAATGGACCTGGAGCAGTGTCAATCTTGAAGGGTCTATCACTATGAATTGGTGTTGTGGGGCAAGTTGAGGAGGGGGGATTGGATAGCCTTGCGATTGAGTCCACCTGTTCTAGAAATGAGATCGTCTGACAAGCAGTAATCATCCTCGTGAGAGGACGCTGTTGAAGCCCCAATGGTACAGGGTGGTCAGGCGCCGAATCCAACACCCTTCAAGAGGGGTAGTAGCTGCACGCTTGAACGGTTCAGGATCGATGGAGCCATCCACATGCAAATAAAGATGGCGGTCTATACATTCCAGGGGCCAGACAACAGAGTGAAAGGGTGGTTGTCTTGCCATCAAGTTATAGAGATGACGGTGACGTTAGTGTCTAGTTTGGGCAGAGTAGCAAGAGTTCCAGTGTTGTTGCAGACAATAGTGAGTAGAGTATGTAGTTTGCCCAACATATGTGCAGCCAGATGGTATCTGCATCATAGCATAAATAACCCTAGGAGCCGAAAGAGCATCCATTCCCGGTTGAATGGGCTCTGATCAGTGCCCTGTAATTGCACTCAAATTGTTCTGCACGGGCTGCAGGAGGAACGCACGAATATCGGGGTCCATGTGCGGCCTGTAATTCTTTGGTGAGGGCTGGTCTTCCCATAAATGCCATTGACAGAACTCCTATGTTCACGCCAGGTGCATTATGGTCATCCTCGGGGCGGACAGCACGGTGCTCTTTTTCTATTCAGTGGACAATGCTTGCAAAATAAGAAACAGTATAGGGGTTGCAATTGTAAGCGAAGTGACATACATTAATGGCACAGTAAACACAATGGCCCCGTTGTAGCACTGCCAGATTGTTTGATTCTGCAGATTGCGCGGCGAAGGGGGGTTCATTTAATTCTATAGATTGCACAGTAGGGGGAGGTACATTCCGACCTGGACAGTTTCTGCCAGGCCCCTCTGGCTGTATTACCTCCATTGGCTCTAGCATGCATTCCAGAGAGAGATCATCTCCTGTTGGGGCTCCATCAAATGATCAGAAGGCTGATCATTGTCAGTTGGAGCGGGGGAGCTATCAGGGCTAGGTGGGTGAGAAGTGGGTGGGTCAGTCACAAGAATCGGAAGGTGATCAGCCGCACTTGTGTGCAGAGTGGCTGCTAGATGTGGAAATGCTGCACAGGTGGTTGTACCGCGTATTGGGTGCTCATGCAGGGCAGCATCACTGTAACAATCGTAGCCATATTGTAGGCAACGGACTCAGAATGTTCTATTCCTGGCAAGTGTGTCTTCGGAGCGATGACAGCGTTCCATATGGTTGTGAGCATGGCGCTGGAGTATAGCGGGGGGTGTATGTGTGTGTGTGTGTGTGTGTGTGTGTGTGTGTGTGTGTGTGTGTGTGTGTGAGAGAGAGAGAGAGAGAGAGAGAGAGCACGAGAGAGAGCGCACGCTACGTTGCAGCTGTCTCTTATACACATCTAGATGTGTATAAGAGACAGCCATTAACCATCTCTCATTATCTGCGGTTCATATTA